AGTCATTCATCCTAATCTAAGCAGTTAACTCTAAGAGAACTACTGAGCTACTTTTACAGAACTCTCACCTCCACTTACTGAACAAGCCAAAGATCCCCATACCCACATCAGTAAATCATTTTTCTCTTTTAGTTTTCGCTGTAGAGTGTGTGTGCTCACTAGAGAGAGGGAGAGAAAGAAAGAGAGAGAAATCACTCCAGAGGGAGGAGGGCCACACCACAATCCCTCTCCTCCATTCTCTCCTTTTTGGTCCCGCCGGGTCCAGTACTCGAACCCTGGAGTCAGCTATGTGAGATGCCACCTGCTGTCCCCCACCCCTCCCACATCAGAAAATCATATCCCCTTCACCATTCATACTACCATTCCAGCCCCCATTACCCTCATGATTAACTTATCTCAACAATTTATTGTTAGTCTCCCAGTTTCAATATCCCCCTTTGAGTTTATTCTGTACTGAAGACATTTAGAAAAAAATATCCCCTACTCAAGGGCCAACGTCTTACTATCAATCAACATTCGACTTTTCAGACTAACACTAAAAATCTTTGTATGATGATATATGTGATCAATAAGCCAGTACTGTGTTTTAATAAAAACATGGCAGGCTACACTGAATTACATGTGGTTGGCAGTTTGACACTGTTTCAAGCTAACATTAACACACAGCTCTACCTCATAACTATAGCCCAAAGGTGGGATTTGGTTGGCACTGACTGCTGAAACTAAACAATTTTTCTAAGAAAAAAGAACATGAAAATACTTCACTATGATATCATTCCTTTAAGCTTTGAGCTAGAAATTAAGAGGTGCAAGTTGTCATTAGTTTTAAACATACATATGCTAGACTAGAGAGTCATTATGATACAAACTACACAATGCTTTAGAGATGAAACTACCTCAATAGTTTAGTTATAACATACACTATAGTACACTCCTGAGAATCTGGGTATACACACACATATGCAAAATAAGATGCATAAAAGTATTAGTGAATCCATACTTGGGAGATTCCATATTGGCGAATTCAAATTCACCTATGCACCATAATTTTGTTTAACTGCCAAAGGGTATGTGTGTTCTCCAGAGAGAGAAAGAAACACTTCCCAAAAGGGGCATGGCCATGCTGCAATTCTTTTTTCTCCATTTTCCCATCCTGATGAGATTTTGGGCACACACACAAACACACATGCTCCTGGTATGTTTTTCAAGCCAGCCAGGATGAGATTTAAACCAGGGTTAGCTATGTGGGATCCAGCTCTCTTAATAGCTAAGCTATTGGGCTAGCCCTAAAATTTATATTCCCAAAACCCTTGCTCATAGCACTTCTGTGGTTATTTGCAGACATGTGAACAATGGTGAAAATCTGGAGTCTTCTGACCTGCATATTCTTTTATTTGTTAAAGAGAGAGATTTTTGCTATAGGGCACCTGCGCTCCCTGGAGAGAGAGAAATAGAGAGACAGAAAGCAAGAAATCACCTGGGGGGGGAGGTGGGGGATGGCCACACCGCAATCCCTTCTCCTCTAGTCTCCTCTCAGGATTTTGGAGACACATGTACACACACCTGGTATGAGTTTTAAGCTGCTAGGTCCGGGACTCGAACCACAATCAACTACATGGGAGTCCAGAGAGGTAACCATTATGCCATCTGCTGGTCTCACATATTCTTGTTCTAATTCTCACAGTATAAACAAGAGTTCTTTTCATGGACTATTAGTGCCATATGTTTATTTTTTTCCTTTTTGTGCTTCCTATCAGTGATTTCACTGTTTAAAACTGGTCCTCAAGCATACATAGTGAAGTGTTAACTAGTGTTCCTAAGCATGAGATGTTCCTTACAGAAAAAATGCATATGTTAATTTATCTAGGCATGACTTACAGTGCTGTTGGCCACGATTTCAATGTCAATGAATCAATGATATAAAGTGCCTTTTAAAAAATACACAAAACATTGTAGTGTATTAATCAGTTGACATAAATGTGAACAGAGACTTGCAGGAACCTAACCCTGTATCTCCCTTAGGAGCAATGGTTCAGTATTTGCTAATTCAACGTTTATGGTAACCTTCTGTAACATAATCTTATATATATATATATATATATATGTGTGTGTGCAGAATCAGAGGTCAGAGAGGGAGAGACAGACAAGAACTGACTTCTTGAAAATACGGTAGAGGGCATTCTGCGTGAGCTGCCTTTGTTGGCAGCACCATGATAAAAACGTTAGAACACAACATCTACCAAGTCGAGGCCCTGTTGAAATGACACTGACCCAAAGCAAAAAAATATAAAATCCACCAAGTTTCTTTTTGATATCTTAGCTTCTCCCACTTTTTCCATTTCAGTGGCAGACCTTCCCCCAATTCAGGTACTCTGAACACTAATGCCATTTTATAAGCTCTTGCCCCAATCCCATAAACAATTTATCACTAGTCTCTCAGTTTCAAGATCCCTTTTATTCAAGTCCATTTTGTACCAAGGACATTAAGAAAAAAAATGCCCCCTGCTCAAAAACTGTATAAGCTCTTGCCCCAATCTCATTAATTATTGATTAATCAGGGTTAAATGAAAATCAGACTTACGCTTAACATTTTGTCTAAATTGTGGCATTACTTATTTGGGAGAGGGGATATTAAGCATCTGAAATTAGAATAAACTCAGGATCAAAAATTAAACTGAATATCGATATTTTAGTTGTGTGAGTGCTGGAGAGAGAAGAAATACACAAGTAAAGAAGGCCTCAGCCCTGGCCTCCCTTACAGGGAAGACGGAGAGCCTAGTCCCAGGAGCTGGGCTACAGAATGGGCAAGTTCCACCTTCCAGAAGGATTCCTCCAATGCTTGCTTCCTCCTAGCATTTGATTACTGATTCTTCAAGAGAAATGACAATTTATGGGATAAGTTAGTGGAACATCCTAACAGTGAAAGCTTGAAAGGGTTGTTTTGGTGATTAAATGTGAGTTACACTTTTTGAAATTTATTTTTATTTTCATTTTCTAAAATTACATATTTTTAGTGAAAGTGACTTGCTAAGGGTAGCAACAGGGTATGTTTAAGGCAGTGACACAAGCTACAAATTCAAAAACCTCGTTTGTGAAACGTAGGCATTTTCTTTCCATTAAAGACCCTGGGATTTAGTGAAATGAGTATACCACCACTCAAGCTACACTTCAATTAGTTACCAAAACCATTCAAAGACAAAAATACAGCATGGGAGTTAATAACCGTGTTCTTAAAACCTACAACCCAATCTAAAACAACACGTGAAAGTCTTTTGTAATTAAGAACTAAGAAATCTAACAGCCCAGGACATCTGTCTTTCAAAACCAATCACCACACATTGTACTCAGGTTTTTTTTGGAGAAACTAAGGATCCTCCTCCTCCCACTCTGCAAGGGTCAGAGCTAGGCTCACTGTTCCTGGCAACAGCTTACTAAAAACAATCACAAACACTCCTGAATAATTCAAGTTTTCCTCCTCAGAATATTTCATAGACAAAAATCTTCACTAATTGTCTTGCACTAATTTACCATTGTTCACAGCATTTCGAAAACAAATGAAATATCAGTCTACTGTTTTCAAACCACATCAACTTCCAACTCTCAGAACCGAAGCTACTTCGATTACTTTTCTCTTAACCTTAGAACTTTGAAGGGTCGTTTTTCAACAATAACCATTTCTTATGATCTTTGAAAGTTTTTTTTTTGTAATATCATTTTGCAAACTCAAAGGTTAATGAAGCATGCAATAAACAAAAAAGTATTTTCTATGAGCCAGTTATACAAAAACTACAAAATTAAAGTGTAGAACTTTTTTAAGTGGGGTAAACTTTTTGTAATTAGACTTCTAACTGCTGTCATAAACTGTTCACAAAACTAAAGGACCGACTACAAAACTTGGAGAGTAAGTTAACCGTTTCATGCTACCTTTTAAAGTACGACCGAAGAGACATACTGCTAAGACATGAAAATCGCGCCTTGTCTGATGGAGAAGAGTCTACAGAAAACAACAAACGGGCTTCAAGTTTACCTGCTTCTCCAAAGCAATCTGCTAACTGAATTTGGGACAAAGTACCACCTCCATCTGTGTGTGTGTGTATGTTTCTCTCTCTCTCTCTCACACACACACACACATATACACACACACACACATATACACACACACACACATATACACACACACACACATATACACACACACACACATATACACACACACACACATATACACACACACACACATATACACACACACACACATATACACACACACACACATATACACACACACACACATATACACACACACACACATATACACACACACACACATATACACACACACACACATATACACACACACACACATATACACACACACACACATATACACACACACACACATATACACACACACACACATATACACACACACACACATATACACACACACACACATATACACACACACACACATATACACACACACACACATATACACACACACACACATATACACACACACACACACACACACACGAATTGTTTTTCAACTGATTTCTGAGCAGGAGCAAACGCAGGCTCGACCGCAGGGTTTGCAGGGTCCCGTGTCCGCGGCGCGGGTGGAAGCTCCGATGAAGGGGCCAACGCATGACACCCGCCTGAGCCACAGCTGGCAGAGCAGAGCCTCGATCCTGCTCGATCTGACCCTCTAATGAGTCACTGGCCCAACCATGACACCACATCACTTGCTAGGACGTCTTCTCTATTTCCTTGCGTCAAGCAGAACAGAAAATGATTTAAACTCGTAATAAGAGAACAGCGCACGGGTTAAGAGGCGAGAAAAGCCGGCTTAAGAGCGAAAGCCCGAGCTACTCAAGAGCCCCCGCTGGACAGTGGAGGAGAGAACCGAGTAAAGTCGAGAGGGCGAGGACCCGGACAAGCCACCGCCACACCCCAGTCCTCCCTCACCTGCCTGCCCGAGCCTCCCCGGACGCCCGTACCTTCGGCCAGAGACTCCTCCAGGGTGACCTGGTAGCGGCCGACTGAGAACACCCGGACCCCCACAGACGAGCCGCCGGACTAAGATAAAGTTCAATTTATAAATTA